TACACCTTTCGACATGTCCCAGTTAGTGATTGAAGTACTCGGAGATGTACCTCAGGAAACCGGTGGTGCTTGCACTAGGAAAACCGCTACGCCCCTCAGTTTACGATCCAGTTTGGGGTGATTTTAATTTTAAATGACGGCTCTTTTTGAGGCAACCATAACCCAACTTTCCCTAGTACCGGCTTGCTCTTTTTCTACGCACTCGGTCGGGAGTATGGAAGTAGCCTTACGTGTAGTTACTCCGATGGAATTGGGAACTTCTTTATTCAAATGTGAAGCATGTGTGGTATTGGGACAGCTGTTGATGTTCTGGACTCTAGGTGTGGTGTTGCTTACGGTGTTATTAGCAGTTCTTCGCAGGATAGGAGCAGCAACCAAGAGGGAGGATTGGGTTGCACAGTCCGCTATGCTTACCCCAACCGTACTAATTTTAGTGGTCACCATTTCCTCAAACTTGGCTAGTAGCTGGTCATACTTCTGAGATAATAGGAGCAGGCTTTTTATCAGTGGGATCGATGTGCATTCCACACAGAACCATAGCGAGTCTGGTTTGTTTAATAACTTGGCCTGACTAGGTTTAACTCGGAGGCATCTCGCATGGAAGAACTTGCAACAGTTACGGCACAAAATGCCCCCTTAACAAGTTTGGAACATGATCCACATAAGTCTTTAGACTGTGGCACACTGGGCATCGCGCTTGTTGAGCAAATGTTACGAACCATTTGAATGACTCACCCTCTATGGTAAATTGTTCTGTTCCTGACGTTGTCGGTAAGGTCACAGTGTTGTGTGCTTGCAGACTGTCCTCTCTGGAGTGCCAGTCGAATGTGTCAGCTTGAACGTGGGGCATAATATACGCAGGTATGTTTGCGAATTTTCGTGGTTAACGCTATGGACCGCGCCGGGTGAATTTGCTTTGAGACCTGTAGCTGCACCAAGCAATGTTGGATTTGTATGAGTGACAGTTCGTTCGAAAGCCGTTGAAATGATCTATCGAATGAGACCAAACAATGTCCGATGGTTGTAATTAGGCAACTTTTGGCGCTTGGATATTGGCGAAACACTGCCCGGAATTTAGAATTTAGGGTAAATGTAGGATGCACTGGAGTATACTCTGGAAACTGGTATCACAAAGTGGAGCTTGTAAAAGCACGGCGAATAAGTATGGATCCTCATCGGTGTAAATAATGGAGTGAATATCCACGTGATTCAAGAACCAGCTGCGAAATTCAAGCCGCTTCTTCGGATTGCATGGGTTCAACATTTCACTTGACGTGCACCATACCGACGAAATGTTCTTTCCTACAAAATGCGCTGCACTACGTAAAGGGTGGTGTCACAATTTTGAGCGATTGTGCGAATGCTGACATCCGCCCTTTCGGTCACTTCACGGATAACAGCACTAGCTGAACTCTCATCCGTTGTGGTGCGAGGCCGCCCCGTAATTCGGGCGTTACACACACTACCAGTGTTCTCGAACTTCTTCACCAGTTTTAACACACCGTCCGTTGACAGGCCGCATTCCCGAGGTTATGCTATTGCACCTTCTTGCTGTCTCGGCTGCATTAAGCCCGCACTCCCAATATAATCGAAGAATCACCACGCGCTGACCATCAGCGACTTGACGTAACTGAGGTTGCATAACATTCACTGAAGTAACTGTGTCCTCGCATTCCATCTCTGAAAAGTAATTCAATAAGAAAGGAAACTTACTGTGTGCCTAAAGTTATCTGGCACATCTAACCAATGTTCGGACCGCAATTTTTCACCTCTCTGTCCACTACTATGAATGACATCATTGACCTATGGACTGCTAGTTTTCAGAGCGGAGAAATTCCTGCCCTAGGTACACAGGTTTACGCTTAAGCACACTGCTCCCATTGGATAGCCTGACAACGATTGCAAATTATCTCTCTTTCGTAGAGACGCGTGTCGTGATGAATTGGATTGAAATCATTCGGCAATCCATCTCGCTACCGACTGCGGATTCTATATTTGATTTTTAACTTTGGAGCAATTTTTTCTGATCGGGTCCCAAGGTCATTGTAACGTGTTACTGTCTTAAATCCGTGCCTCATCGCATACGGCCATAAACTCAGGAACGCTTGCCAACCTATTAGAAATAAATGTCTTGGAAAGAAGCACAGGCATCGTTCTGACTGACAATCTGGCCTCAGTCGTTTTTCTGTCGACAAAGCGCAATTCCCACTGATTCTTTCCGGTAATGTTCGTTTGCTCCTTGGTAACATCAGTAATCTCAGTGCCACTGTGCAGTGAAATGTGTATGTTAATAGAGCAATCATTCTATTATAAGAAAGCTGGTTGCATAGTGATGTGGAAAATGTGGTAATTCAACTCGGTGTTTATTTTCACATCAGATCTGACCGCACCGGGAAGAGTTTCATGGTGATGGCCTTATAACACGTTAATCAACGTTGGTGCAACGCAGCAATCATACTATTCCCGTACTCAACGATTTCTATAAGCTGCTATTTAGTTGAACGCAAACCGAAGTTCCTAAGTGGCTTTAGACCAGTCATCATTGGAAACGTATATCTTGCTCCTGACACATCTGCGTCTGAGTTAAAGCTTTTTGAGGACCAACTTTTTTCAACGCTACTGCTTAAATTAGGTTATTCTATCTATATTGTCTCTGGCGACTTTAATAGAAAGGATGCAACATTCTTGAAGAGAGTTGGCTTCGTATACCTAGTGACTGTTTCGCCCAGACAAGAAGCCCAGTTGGACGCTGTGTTCACAAATAAACGACAGTCTTTTGCCATACAAAAGCGGGCTCCTTTGAGCAGCTTAGACCATTGTATCTTAAAACCGTGTCCAATCACATACAGCAGGTCTACTTTTTTGACGCTGACCAGGTGTCTTTACAAGATTATCAAACGGCGAAATTGCTCCTTGGAAAATGTCGTGAAGCTCCAGACGATGCTTTGTTTAACTGATTTTTCGGTCTTCAACGACGAGAACCTGTCGCTCGAATGTGACCATCTTACGTACTGCATCAAATATTGCTTTGACATGTGTTGCCCTGTTGAAATAGTCTATCTAAGAGCAGATAGACTTTCCTCACTACTACTAAAGTGACTTCGAAGTATGAAAGAATGGGCCTACAAGTGCAAGAATGCTACCCATATCAATAGGCTAATCTCAGCAATTAAATCCGAGTTAAATCGACCAAACCAATTATAAGTCGAAGCAGTTCTAGGCAACCAGAACTGTCGCGATCTATGGAGGCCTCTGAGGCAGCTCTGTGGTAAAAGTGCTTGCAGGCAGAGCGGTGAAGTGGATGTGGATAAACTGGATTAGGAGCTTATTTCCGCCTCACTAAGCTTAGCTTCCTTGCCCTCCTTCATTAGCTCAAATCCAGTCGCGCCCTTCGATCAAAGCAACCTCCACAAGGAACTCAAAAGATTTAAGGCAATCCAAGCTCGTGGTCCGGATGCCCTCTCACCATTAGTTTTGAAGGAGTGTGCTGATTCTCACACAGTGCCTTTAACAGATCCCTTTGACAAATGCCTCACTATGTGTGTGATCTCGGACATTTGGAGAACCGCCAGTACCACTCCAGTACCAAAAACTGATCTCAAAAGTATCGCCCAATTGCATCTACATCTGTCCTCTTAAAAGTTTCGAAAGTGCTACTCCCGCGGAATTTTTCAGCCACTCTTGAAGACCATATCTCGCAGTTTGCTTATAGATCTCAGCGCTCCACATTGAATGCAGTGACATATGTTGTTCATTCTATAAACTGCATTAGATTAAAAATGTTAATCCGTACGGTTTCTCTTCATGGATTATTCGAATGTTTTTGGAAGCCTGGAGAGGTTAAGGTTGCTAAACCTGCTATGTGAAAATACAGTTCACCCTGGTGCGTGTAATCCGTTGCATGACTATTATACAGATCGTACTCACTTCAATAAGTTGAGCAGTAAGAAATCTCTGTCTTCCGTGTCGACTGTGGTATTCTACAGAGAGTGATCCCATCAGCTTTTCTATTTTCCTTATATGTTGAACATCTCCCTATACAAACCACGTTTATGGAGTGTAAATATGCTGATGATGTTGTGCTGGGATGTATGGCCCAGACTAACCAGGATTCCTTATCAGTTCAACGTGGGTTGAAAGATCTGGTGGAAAGGTCTTCATCCAGATCTCTTATGCTTAATGCTTCTTTATGCAATGATGTAGTATTTTCTTTACTAAATAGCGATAAGTTGCAGTCCGTTATCGATTTTTCCTCCACTCTGTGAATGAAAATCCCATACCCACCTCGTCCACCGTCGAGTATCTCGGCGCTTTTTTTGTCCCGCAACCTTTCTTGGTCCACTTATGTCTGCGAAACTTTTCAAAAAGTTAGAAAACTTTCTTCTTATGTCCTCAGAATTAAGGTGCTTTCATTACCTCGTATATTAATATTCAGGTTTGTTACCTCCTGCATTATTCCCCATTGGTTATACTACTGTCCTGTCATTTTTCCTGGACTGCTTCAGAAAGATTGCATCTTATTGGTAAGATCTATAAAGCACATTTCTAGATGCAGCGGCTTGTCTAAAGATTCTTAAGTTGACTTGGTTATTTCTAGTTATCTTGATGTCTGCAATGATTTTGTCTTCTAAGATACTAACTGGTCGATTTCATCCACTTCACAATGATCTTTCCAAAACGCTCTATTTTTCTTCTACTCGTTCGAAATTCAGCATTTTATTCACCCGCACGTCGTCGCATCGTAATACTGTTTTGCCTTTTCTCTCACGTTTGCGTGTTGACACAGCAAAACGCACTAACATTCTGCGCGAGCGTCTGTCGGAGTAACAGTTCTGCTTTTTTCTCACTTTCTGTCCAAACATGTATATTGATATTGTCATCCAGATGTCCGCAGTGGTGGTGTAAATGCTGAAAATGAGCTCATTAGGGTTTATAAAGCTTATTTTGTCTGACTTGACTTGCATACTAAGCAGTTAACCAATCCACGAATGAGTACAAAACAAATGTATATTTAGGTGAAGATGTACAACTGTACAGCAATAATTACACTGCTCGGTGGAGCAAGTGGCAGTTTCCCTGCCTCGGACAACTAGCGCGCGTCAGTTGGTTGATTGATAAGCTGCAGAGGAAGTGAAGATCATTCCGTTAACTCGGTTCCTTTAACAATCAAATTTAATGGGTAAAAGGAGAGAAAGCTCGATTGTTTAGCGATGGCAACAGTTCGTTTACTAGCAGACACAGTTATGAATCGAACGTTGTTTGAGCAAGGATTACCTTGGTGATATACGTACATCACTGTAATATGAGTGTTACCCATCGTTTTGAATCGCACGCTGCGGTCGGAATGTTTCCGCTACCACTTGTGCCGTTGTTAGAGCGCTCTGCTTCCCTGCCAATGTAATTTCCTCATCTTTGCTCTTAACCGTTGTTATTTTGATTCACGAAGTCTGTGTGGCCCTAATATTTGACTGTTAGTCCATAAAGCTTCGTAGTTTCCTCGGTATTCTGCCTCGCTAGACATACCGTTGTTAATTGGTTTCGAAGGTCACTTATTTTGTCATTGTTACCGACCATTCTACCTGACTCCGATACTTTTACTCCAACTTCCTGACGAGGCTCCAAGACGATGCTGCCTTAAAAGCATGTGACAACAAACGAGTCGTCCTGCCCAAGAAGATACGGTCCAGTGAACAATAAACAATACTCGATGCTCAATGTGAGTGATGACACGGCGGGTGTCATGCGACACCCCTAATCCACTTGTTATGCGTGATTGCTTCTGCGGTTTCTTCATGAAAGCGGTGATCCCAATCCCTCACGATTGGTGTGCAGTACCATTCCAGAGGAAATGCCACAAAAGTGTGCAATGAAGTTAATCTATGCGACGTTGTTTTTCCGGACCAACATGGGCGTGCTCAGCTATGCGATACAAAGTAAGAAAAATAATTGCTCAAAGTGATTCTTGGTGTAGCTGTAACTTAGCGTATCCAGGTGAACATTAGCTGTTTCAGACGTCCGTGATGATGAGGAGTGGTGGTGATGAGGAGTGTGGCAAATCGTCGGGGTATGCGAGTAATACCACATTCCATGGATAATGCCAGCAACATATCTATGAGAATACGGTCTCGGTTTGTATCGCGTCACCAGAACGCAAATGCTTAGATCGTTAATAAAATTGTCAGATGCTGAACTGCTTAACCTTATCATCCAGGTCGCAGCCATATTGTCGCAGTTCCTAGGGAAGTTAACATCGCAGTGTGGTTTGTACACTATTGTTAGCATAGTACTCACCGCTTGATTGGCACATACCTGCGGTTTCCAAAGAAGGAAGTTTCACATTCGCAGATAGTACTACGAGAGCCATAATCGGTGATGCACCTAAATATAGTAACATACAATTCGAGACCACATTCCGTTCCCCCCAATGAAACACTTTTGTTACTAGATCCAGACCTTTGTATAGAAAAATCTACTTAATCGAATCACAAGTGACATTGCCCGAGGCGCCGAGTGAGAAGTTGGTGATATAGATGAATGCATGCGTATCTCTGGTCAGTAATCAAAAAAGAGCACCGCAGTGAATTTACAATTCAGTCGCACTTTTGCGTCGGGTGTGTCGGAGCAATGATGGCGTCGCGAACTATTGGCCAGGTATGTAGCTAGAGAGCCACTTGTTGTATGTATGTAAGTCTTTTATTCAGCGGTCAGGCTCACCGAGGCGAAGCAACATCTACATTATCCATTCTGGATGCTAGTTTCTATTAGTTCACCGGTTCTTTTTCATTTTGTCTATCAATCGAGCGTATCATTGGTGTCCGATACTTCCAGACTTGATATACTAACACTTCCTCTCATCGCTTCCGTTAGCCGTCTAGCTAGATTCCTCAACAGGTTCCTCAGATAGCATTCTCATAACGAATTTTCTAAGTCCTTGTTAACAAAGCTAGGTCTACTTAACGATATTTGCTTCAATTGGGAGGCCACCGGCTCCAAAGCGAGCTAGTCCACGTTCTCACCCCCGCAAACGATTTATAACTACCGACCAAACCACCACACTCCGAGAATCGTTGGGCTATTTGAAAAGCTGGTCAGAATGGAGATGAGAAACTTTGTTGATTCTATTGGCCTGATCAGCAATTCGCAGCATGGTTTTCTCAATAAGCAATCGTGCACTACCTGCCAACTGCATTACCTTAATCACATTTCAGAATTAATCGATTCCGGCTATGCAGTAGTAATCTTGTTTCTTGACATACATTAAGCGTTCGAGGGAGTACCGCACAAGCGATTGCCACAAAAGTTGGAGAACTTTGGGATCCGGGACCCATTACTAGGTTGGCTATCGTCATACCTCAGTGATCCTCATCAGGTAGTCACTTTAGGTAATTATCGCTCTTCCCCACGCTCAATCACCAGCGGAGTCATTCGAGGGAGCGTGCTCGACCCCTTACTCTTTTTGCTCTACATCAATGACGTCACCACGTCTGTAAAACATGATACGTCATTTTTTATTTGCTTACGATATCAAACTAGTCTATAAGTTTCGGCGCGACGAGCTTCACGGGACATTACTGCTCATTCAAGATGATTTACATTCCCTTTAGTCATGGTGCTGAACATGGGTGATGAGCCTCCAGGCTAAGAAATCAAGCATCATGTCTTACGGATGCTGCATCCCCGAAGGATCTACAACCTTAAACAATGAAAACGTCTCTACATAGTTGTCCACGGGAGATCTTGACATTAGGTACTCGTCTACCTTCAATTTCTCCGAGAAGGCCCAATACCAAGTAACACGTTCCAGACAGTCTATGTTCAATATATCAAACAAAATACACACAACTCGTGCTAAAGTTACGCTTTTCAAGCTACTGACTCGCCCCATCCTCGAATACTGCAGCATAATATACGGAAATATGAGAAAGGGTGACAGAATTGCTGTGGAACGCCTGCAGAGGTCACTTACTAAACATCTGACTGGTAAGTATGCTGCTATGAGTTATCGAGAACGTTGCAGTGAACTTCATCTCGAACCAGTTTGGATTCGACGATTGAAGCACAACTTGTTGCTGCTTCTCAACATCTTACACAAAAAAACCTATTCCAACCTACATACACTCAATTTATAACATTGTTCAACTCGAGCGCTTCGCAACAAGGATTTTACATTGTATATACCGAGGGCTAGAACGAACGTCCGCTCTAATTTCTTCCTGGTCAGATATAGCTATCTGTGGAATAAACTACCAAGAACACTCAGGTCATGTGACAATGTGGCAACATTTAGTAGCAGACTCGCCAATTACCTTGATCTAACTACCTTAAGCTCTATATTCACATGGAAAAAATCCCTCGGTGGGCGGTTCCAAGAGGCGCCCAAAGACATATAAACACCAATGTTTTCATAACTAGGCTTTGGCCTCAACCATCCGCCAGAATATTAATACATGAAACGCATATCCCATTACTTCACCTATGCATGTCAACCATGCAAGAGCATGGATTCTTCTGTACAAACTGATCTGTGTCGCTGTAAACACGGTTTCTCTCATCAAAAGAAATATACCCATTATTATTAGTATTAGTATTATTGCCGGTCATTCCTTTCAGTTTTTGTTCACTCTCGCAAGGTCATCCAGTTTTATCCAGCGGAAATTAGCATTTCATGAAATTCACTGAAACTTTGGGCACGCCACATCAGTTCGAATGGCTTTTAACGTAGACTTACGGCCAAAACAGACTTTATGGGCCTGAACCCAGGATCCTGAAAGGGATTACAGAGGATAGGCATCAGATAACTCGTACATAAGATGTTGATGTTTTATGATTAAGCAAGTCATGCTGCATTGTGGTAAACAAATCTGATCTCATCCATAATTTAAAACCGTTACGACTCAGGAATTATGTATACGCTCAAGTAAGAAATCCAGTTAACGAAGCGATCGCTTTTCAATAATTCTCATCGGGCCATTCAAAGGGGATATGGCTCTTAACTTACGGACTAGATGACTCAGTCACGATGACCAAAACCTACCCAGCCGCCTTTTGCACAGACAGCACCCCTTGTAACTTAACGACTCAAGGACAGATTGCCGGTCCATTCCAAAGTATAAGTTCTGCATTAGTTTATTTGCATCTGTGATGTAACATATCTTCGGCACAAGACCAGGTGCTTACCAAAACCAGTAACAGGACACTAGAACACTAACAGTCTTATCATGGTGCATTTGCTTCTATGTGAACATGAACTCCCGAATGCAGATGTGTTTAACATTTTCTACCCCATGCCACTACGTTATCCAAAAGCGCTCAGTAAACGTCATTTGTAGACAGCTAAAGCAATTGCTGACAGTCTGATTCAGCCTGAAATGCGAAAGCAGAAGGCTGTTGTACAAGACCTCCTCTTGTTTTGGTCCCGCGTCAATTCCCCGAGGTCGGACACTGACAACGTACCGTTGTCTGCGAGGAGTGCCCCCTCCCCAGTGAATCAACCTAAGTATCGATCCCATCGATTGGTCTCATTCAAACGCTTGTGGCTTGGCAGGCCTAAATCCAGCTTTCAGAAGCATACTATGTTGCCTGATTCTTTCTCTAAGTTGTAACGGCCTGATGAGAAGTATGAAAATAGATATATTCGCTAAATAGACTTCTCATTGGAAAGCGTTTCGCATACAGTATTCTCCTGTGAAACGCGTCGTCTAGAGTGTCGAGGTAATTACTTTTCACTTAGGGTTTGCCAACCCTGGAACGCACTCCCAGAATTAGTAGTATTCTCTTCTATCTTGGACGTTTTCAACAAACGATAAGATGTTGCTCTTAGCTCCCAACATTTGGTTACCTAAACTCCTCTGTTGTGGATTACGCCAAGCATGCTTTTCTGCAGGATTAATGTATCAAATAGACCAAAATGAGCGACCATATTATACTTTTCTCACGCCTTACATCAACGATCACTGAACCCGTGTCTTTCTGAACGTTTACGCTCGATTTTTTTAAATTTACCGCTGATGTAATTTATCGAAGTATTCATCTAGGCAGACGTTCGGTAGATGACTCAGATATATCTTGATTTCATCATATTCACCCCAATCATCCTACGGGACGTGCCAGGCACTTGCTTTTATCCCGTGATAAATCATTGTTCAAATGAAGAAATGTAAGGATGGCAAATCAACCGAGTTTGAAAGGAAGAAGAGAGGTAGTTGCCCCTAAATAAACGGAATATCTTGGAATTCAAGTATGGCTTCCGTTGTATCCCTTCAGGACAGGTAGGCATATCTTTCTACTGTCCGAAGTAAGGATGGAACTCTCTAAAAGGCTGTTTCGAATTAGAGCACTGGTTGGAGCCAACATAATTACATTTTTTAGCGAACTCTACCTGCCAGTAAGACAAAGCTAAGAGTAAGGCCAGATCATTACAAACCAATTAACGGGCAGAACAATTTCACACGCGGACGCTGAGCTGGTGGATGCGTGAGACGCCAACGAACATGCTTTCGTCGGACGTAAATGGGACAACAGAACTAGAACAAGAATATGCCGGCTGCACGTTTGCACATATAACATCCTCCAGAATAGCTCAATTGGCAAAGCATGACCCGTGCGAAATGTTATCAAATAATAGTCACAGATCTGACATCGACGTCAGATGGATTGAGGAGCGGAGTTATTGTAATCGGCCATTTCAAGCTAAGTGTGGTTTACAACACCGATTTCGCTTAGTCTCTCAATTCACCACTGGGCTTATGCGCACTCAATTTTAACAACATTTAGAGACCAAACAGGAATTCTACTTTACAATGGCATCGATACAGCGTATACCATACTTACGCCATATCCAGAGATCTTTCTGATAACCAAACGCCACTAAAACCTGCATTTCTTGAAGCCAGTCTTCCAGCTTGAACACTTGATTTGTCTGTGAGACAATCTCCGGTACCAATTTGCTCATTCGATAGACATCCAAGTACACATACACTGAATGATAGTTAGACCGGGATACGCTGTTACGTTCTATCCGTATGTCATGTACAGGTGTACTGCTTCTGATTAGCTGCAACTGCGAGAAGGTAAAAGAAGTAAAAGAATGTGATAGGGTCAATGAAGACAACCACATAATTTCTGTTGCAAATAGTAACTTTGGTGGTTTTGCGGAGCAAAAATAAAAGCAGTCTGCTTCCGTGTACTGAAAATTCAACACTGTACTGATAAGGTGAAGCTGTGACTACGTATGGAAGTATCTCCAAGTCAGTATATATATATATATATATATATATATATATATATATATATATATATATATATATATAATGATTTGCTGCATCCGGTTCCGGATTTGTCTGTTACAGTGGGCTCCACGAGGATAGCCACAGGACGTCAGCGTCTACAGAAGGACCATGGGTGGTTTGAGCTGCACCACCCACAGCTCCACCCACACAATCTATATACAGTGTAAACTAGAAGGATTAAGACTAATGATATCAAACAACTCACATGGAACTTGAAAACAAAATCAACAAGCAAATTAGACACGGAATATGCAGCAGAATAACATAACTGAGCAATCCAAACTAACTAGTATACATTTTATCTAGAGTGAAGGCATCAGAATCTAATTTAAGTGTAAGTCGGTATAGCCCAACTGCAGGGACGAAGCATGATGCATGCAACCTCAACCAGTAGTACAAGATGGATTCCTCGCGAGTAAAAACGGGCATCTGTTATATATATATATATATATATATATATATATATATATATATATATAGCCCAATTACGGTTTAATATAAATCTACTCAGCAGAGGATCTAAGATGGTTATAAAAAGTACTAATGGTCTGGATGCAGTAACTTACATACGTTTAGTCTCCGCCTTGTCTCAGGCGTATGATGCACTATGTTGTGGGCCTTCCGTTATCTGCTCGGCGCTTATGACTGCCCGCCATACCTTGTTTCTCCTTTATCGAAAACATCATCCTTTGTCAAATATTAATCTCGGACTAAAAAATCTAGTGAACTAGCTAGGCGCCGGCAGTTTGTGATTCCGTAAGCTCTCTAGTAAACAGTAGACTAGTGCTAGCCATATCAGCGTACCATGCGGCTGGTAGTGCAGTTAGACGGTGACGTCTATTTCAGGATATCACCAAATGCTTGCATCTACGTCTGGTTAAGCAACTATTTGTCAAGTGGTGAACCAGGAGCTCGTTAGTGTACACGGAATTCACCTCGACCTTGAGCTTACACTGTCATACGGTCAACTATCCAGTATGGTATGGTATCTACTAGTACCAATACCTGTGTTGCAAAATGACATGCTGGAGAGCAGCATGCAAAAGACGTGTAACGGCTAAACGTAGCTGATCGCTAAGTGCCTGCGCAAAACTTCTCAGATACTGCATCAGTAAGGCGAGTGACGTATAACTGACAACATGTAGGGAAAGCTTATGTCCAAATGCACTCAGGTTCAGCCGCCGCAAATTACGGCACTGATTTTGGTCACCCACCTTGTGTGTGTGTGTGTGTGTGTGTGTGTGTGTGGATTGCCCAACAAAATCTACTTTACGATGTCCAGTTGGTGTTTCAGTTCGTGTCGCTATCACCCTGATGTTCACATACTCTTTGGTAACTACGTCAACTAATAGTTTGAGTTAATGTTGCAGTTCAAAGGTGTGGAACTTGGGAAACCCGGCTATCGCATGCAATGACGTGAACTGTAACACACGTCATCACTATTTTCAGGCTCACACATATTTTGAAATCACGAACCGCTTGAATTGCGATCTACTTGTATGTAGTACATGTCTTTACGACTTTCGGAATCGCAATATGTTCGACGTTATAATGAGTTAGATGTTAGCGATGAATGATGTATTTTCGGAGGAAATATTCAGTTGATATCTGGAAGCAAAGCAAATCAAAAATCCTGGCAAATGATGAACGAGCATTTTGCAGTAATTTGTCTGAATGAAACCTGTGCCTACTGGCCGGACCACCTTCACTGGGTCGTGTCTCAAGTTTCTGAGAATATAGATATTTTAGCTTGTATTATTCCCGTTTCTACTTGCACTTTCCTATTGCACAATTCCATTATTTACTATACAATCTTCTTGTACTGTCGGAGCTGGCGTACGCATGCACGAATTTCGATCCAGTCCAGTTTCTGAGTTGTAATTTGGGTCCGCACACCCGATCAACTCCCCCGGTGGATGCATTCTTTGATAGGACCCGTTTAACTAACCGATGGATAAATCTTATTTTAACCGTGGATTACCACATGTGCTGCTGATGTTCAATTTTGAGGACACTCGAGAATTTGATTTAGGGTAGTGAGTTTTTCTATTATTAGTAACTTGGTTGTAATTTTAGAGAACACGCTTATCCTTACCATTTTGAAATCATTTTAGCTAACCTGTTTATTTTTGAAAAAAGTCCCTTTATCGTATGAACAAAAATGGCGAATAAAATAGAAAATACAAAAACTGGGTATTTATTCATTAAAAATTAGCAAATTGTTGCCATATTTATCTTAACAGCTATCTAGTGAACATTGTCACATATAAGCATTGAATACGTGTGACGGTTAATGCATCAATGAGTTACAACCAGTTGTCCTGTTTTAAGGAGGCCAGCAACAAACGATAGCGGACTTGGGGATATTTAAATTATTGGTGAAATTCCTGGGCATATGCTCATTTAGTAAACAATTTCAAATATATTAAGTTTAAACTGTTGCATTTCAAACCTTTTGAATTGTAATAACATGCTATTTCTGTTAATGTCATTTTCTTGATTAAATCTGCACGTAGATAATCTTTCAATCAGTTGAATCTTTTTCTTTAAATAGGATCTTAAAAGCTATTATGTACAAGGTGTTATCACCATGATTGGGGGAGCTGACGCTGTTCTGGAAGGCAACATTCACATTATACCTCTGGATGATGGACAACACGCCTATGAAGATGATCTTAATGAAGTGATTCAGGAAGCTTGATCTCTTGATGACCTGACAGCGAAACAGTAATGCTGAGTCTAGCATAGTATCACCTCATGGGTTAGTAGTTACAGTCCATATGGAGGGTGAACCATTGGAAAAGGAATCAGAAAGCAGCAACATAAGCTTACAAGAAACGTTTGCTGCCCCAATGCTTGTTCCATCAACAAAAACGCAAAGGAGTACCAGATCTAGACTATGGAGAAAAGAAGACTTAAAACTAAGATCACAGACAATAGTCTGCATGTGCACCTGGTTTTTTAAGGGAGAACTTACCGTATAAGTCGTTTGCACACTTATTTGAACACATGATAAGGCTGACAATTGAGTATGTCTGTTCAGAATGTGACCATTCATTCAGTATAACTACGACTGAAATTCAGTGTTTTCGTACGGTTCTGTATACTTTTGGCTATAATCCATTACCACGAAGGTCGATGTTTGGGATCCTGAACAAGATGTCCACAAATCGTCAGACAGTGAATAGGAACCGATTTGGAACAACCATGAAATATATCTCCATCTGGCAAACAATGACAATCTCCAAGCAGGTTGCAAATTTACAAAAGTTCGATCATTTTATAGCCTCAATGGAAGATTTATGAGATTCTTCTCCTTGAAAGAAAAAGCGTGAATGAAAGCATCAAGCCATATTCCGGCCATCATGGACTGAAGATATGCATCAGAGCAATGTGTACTGCATTCGAGTATAAATTGTATGTTATTAAAACAGATCTGGGCCATGCTACCTATCTGAATCTCTACTAAGGACCTCAGTAGAAATATGACAAGACATTATGTTTGAGATATAGCATTGTCATGGGCCTAGTGGACAGGCTTGACGTCTATGGAGGCCTCAACCAACAAAGACATAAGAGCAACTGGATAGTTCGAACAAATAGTGCCTCATCGATACGAGGGCCTCTTGACAAGTAAACAGGGATACTTATGACTACGGTTTTAGCAGGTGGGATGATGTGTTCGTTTTGTCTTGAAATGATAACTCCGTTGTGACTCTTGTCAGTAACCCCTTTGATGCATGTCCTTTGATAAAAACAAAGAGGTGGTCGGCAAAAGACAAGAAGCATATGACATCGTTAGCAAGTGAACCGAATAAACCAAAATGTCAGTCAAAATAGAATCAATTTTCGCAGAAAAATGTGGGGGTGGCCGCTAATTGTTATTCTCCCTGATGCTGCAATGAACATTCCTTAGCTTTTGTGGAGGAAATCACCTGCACATGAGCAAGAGCAGCACGAGTTGCTTTCCTTCAAACGAACTGTCGTTCAAGTCTACTTGCCGGTGTATCTAGAAAGAATAAAAGTCCCACGAAATCCTGCTACACCCAGCTGCAAATGGCAAAAAGCTGAAGACAGAATCAGGAAATCCTGCTCTGAACGCCACTCGAAATCAATTCCAAGTACAGAGCTGCTGTCAATGTACGATGGAGGCTGATCTGCTCTACACGGTATGTGCTATGTCACTACACGGAGCGTGATCTCCAGCATACCACGCTTGAACAATGGAACACCATTTTTTGTAAATATGAGCTATATATACTTTTATAATGAATAGCTGTCTGTTCTAGTATCTCTGAAAGAAATAGTTAACAATGTAACTACAAATCTGCAAACAATGGCGTTTTTCTCAGCAAATGCGGTTTCATGTTTTCTTCTAAATCCCCATGTCACTGTATCCTTTGTTGCTGGCGTTCTTAAGAAAGAACAGTTGGAAAAATATAGCTAACAGTGAGTGCAGCCAGACAAGCTTGAGGTGCAGAACGAATGGCGAAGTTCACACCTACGTCCAAGGCAGCTTTAGGCTGACAAATAATCGTTTCTGAACACACAAGGCTGGATTCATCCGCCTTATAGGAATAGCCTCAGCAAACCGAAGGAAGCTGGGATTAGTGTGACGTAACACAACTTTAAACGCTTAGCCCAGCTCTATCCGGTGAACCGAGTCTAATAGGTATTTGCCAATCGAGGAAGCCGGCGGTCTGCGCTAACAAGGAATCTGACGAGGGTAGGTAATCTGAGCAACTTCACTCTGAAATCATCTCCGTACAAG